TTTCAAAGAAATCTTTGTTTTGTTCAATTTCATCTCAAGAACCTTAATTTAACTTTTGCTATTTTTTGTTTAAAATCAACTAAATCTTATTCTAATCAATATAAATGATTTCCAAACATCTTACCTAGTTATAAAAAAATATTTTGAAAGTCGACCAGTAAAGAGTTTCTCAAAGCTTCCCTATTTTCCTTTTTTTTTGTTGTTTTCTCTATCTAATTCAATCTTTCCTCTCTCTATTTTTTCTTAATTTCTAGCATGAATGTGTTTTCTTCTTCAAAACCCTCTCTTTTCAATTCTAAACCTTACTCTCTAGCGCTTTAAAATGAAATAAATGAAGAAGAAATGAAATGGCTATTTCCTCTTTTACTGTATGTCATTGGGTTATAACATGGACACTAGCTAAAATGGTCTTACCAATTGTAAATCGGTCTATTAATATACATTTTTAGCTAATACACATGACCTCAACAAATCTTCGAAGGTCTTAATAAATCTTTTTGATTGTCCATCCATTTAGGAATAAAATGCAGTAGTTAGATTCAACTTTGTCCTTAGATAAAAGCGGATACTTGGCCACAATCATGATGTAAACCAAGGGTCTCGATCAAACACTATAGCTACTAAAACATCATGTAAACTTACTACTTCATTCATATACATTCTTGCTAGTTTATTAACTGAATCTATCATCTTTATTTGAAAGAATAAAACATATTTTGTTATCCGATCCACAATAACCCATATTGTATCATTACCCCTTTCTCTCTAGGTCATCTAAAAAAATTCATTGTTATATTCTCTCATTTCCACTCAAGTATCAAGAGTGGTTATAGTTGTCCAACAACCCTTTGATGCTCTATTTTCACTTGTTCACATACCTTATATTTAGCCATATATTCTGTAATTTTTCTTTTTATATTTGTCCACTAATAAAACTTCTTCAAATAATGATACATCTTAGTACTACCAAGATGCATCACAAGTTTGGATTCATAAGCCTTGCTTATCACTTCACCCTTGAGGTTCTCATCATCAAGCAAATAAACTTGTCTTTCTATTGCTACCATTTCATCCTCATCCTCTGTAAATTGAAAAAAGAAACCTTAATTCATTCCTTTATCTTTTTCATTATGTATATTTTGTAGTAAAAATCATACTTATAAGAATCTTTAAAAGTTTGTATAAGTCTAGCACTCATATTTGGAAAAATATTTAGGAGGAGATACTCTAGATATATTATGTTGGTCTAACGCCTATACTTGAAAAAAATATTGAAAGCATTTCTATTCAAGTCCAGGGAAGATTGAACTTTCTAACCTTAGTAGGATTTGCCCTTGCCTAGAAATGAAAATAAATCTAGGTTGCATGTATATCTTTACTTGTTTGAATAAATTCTGAATGGATTATTAAGATGTCCTTAGGATCACATAGTGATTGGTGCTATTGCAATGTAGAGATGAATTCAAATCTTTTAAAGAGTTATAGGGTTGTTGTCTTACAAAGATTGAGTTAATATTATCATTAACAAGTGTGAAATCACACTAAGAAGACCATATGAATCCATTCTAATATAAATTTTGCAATCGCACTAGGATGACAAAGTTGATTCCTTTCAAGGTAAACTATGCAATCGCATTAGGAATATTAAATTCATCTTATTATTTAAAGGTTGTAAGGTTATGACCCTTAGACATATCTGGAGAAAATGAAAATATTGTTATTTTGAACAAGTTGATTCATATATAAGAAACTTACACTCTTAGCCAAAGACTATGGTATATTTTTATTTCCTTTTAAGGTATAATCAAATTGATGACTTGAATCTTCAATTTATGTTAAGATCCTGGTCCTAATTTTAAATGAGAAGAAATTAAAGTTTCTCCGGTAGGTGTCTTCTAAGTAGATGACTTACTTTTCATTGGACAGTTGCTAAAGGGACTTCACATGTTTTTTGATTTGTACCACCACTCTATTTGAACTCATTGAAGGCTTTCAAGCTCTTAAGGTATCCATAATGTTCATGAAGTCAATAGAAAGTATAGCCTAAATTTGCTTATCTCATCACATTTTCAAGCAAATAAGAGAAATCATTTTGACTTTGAACAACAAACATATTGCATAGCCTTATGAATTTCTTACAAAAGGTGCACATCTAGCATTCACAGTAGATTATGATTTCTAAACTAATTTGAAACATTTTTAATTATAAAAGTAGTCTTTCTTGTTAAAAGAAACTTTATTGATACCATGAACGAGATCATAAAAATATGTACCATCCTCCTAATTAATTGATATTATAGTTTTGCAGAGCTTTTATTGGATGATATATTGGTGCTAAAACACAATATAAATTTAATTGTGAGGTCATTGACAAGTATGTTAGAGGCTAGTTATTTTACTAGCTTATTGGGCTTGACTATTCATTTGAATGGCTAGCACTATCTTAATAAGAAGTCAAACATAATTGAAGGGTTGATAATGTTATGATAGAATAGCCTTGTCATGATTGTCTATCATTGGTAATGATTAGGAATGTCAAAAACCATTACTAGAAGGATAGTTGATGACTTTTTTATGAGGTTTCAATAGATGATTATATGTTGGATAATCGGTTAGTCTCTTGATTCTAATAATCTAGTCCATTCTTCTTAGCCAAGATGGCTGGTATCTTGTACCTGGTGCTTGATAAGCAAAGGTGGTAAGTGATGTTATAACCTAATTTTGGTCAATTTGCTTTTAATTTAATTTTATGGGGATTAAAATTTAAAATTAAAAGATCAAGAATTTATTTTGATGAAAAATATGATTTGTTAACTTGTGAGAAAATTAGGACTACAATGTATTTTTATCATTCTTTCTTTATCATCAAGATAATGATAGTTATTTTTTAAAATTTAATTCTCAATCAAATTAATTTTTTTAAATAAATTTATTTAAAGCTCTATTTCTCATATGTCATAGAACTCGTGTATTACAAATAAAAATTATGATACATGGAATACATTGCTAGAAAACCTAATAGAGCACACAATATAAAAAATATAAAAAACCTAAACCTACTTCTTAGCTGGTGTGTCGACTCTCCTAAGAAGCTACAGCCCCCCCATTATTGGGAAAGAGACCCCTACCCCCCTTCCTTCAATCAGTCCACTACCAACAACAACTAAGAAGCAGCACTTGAAGACCCAACGGTTTCGATTGCATGCAGCTTCAAAACAGAGAGAAGAGTTTTTCTCAGAACTCAGCTGTAGTAGCAACCTCTTCCCTTCAGTCCAACACTTAGAGCAACACTAATATCGCAATGCAGCAGTAGCAATAGCCAGATCCTTCCTCTCAGAGCAGCAATAGCAGTGGTAGCACGAAAGTCGGACACTCTCTTAGTCTCCATTAAAGCAACATCTGGAAGTTCTTCCTCACACGAGCAACCCCGTCTTCACCGTGAATAGCAAGTTAGATTTTCAACACGTGGCCAATAGCTCCATTCCCCTTCCATAACAGCGAGGAGCAATATAAACCATAAAAGAAAAGGAGAGAGAATAGAGATTAAAAAAAAAAGAAAACCAGGGAGAAAGGAGAAACACAAAAGAATGAAAGGAAGGTTGAGATGTTTGCCCAACCACCGGTCTCCAATGTTATCCGGTCGTCTCCCTCGACTTTGCTTCCAGTAGCAGCAGACCTAGGTAAGCTTCCTTCCCTACTCGCTAAAATAATTAACATGTTCTTGTTGTACGCATGCTTGAATTATGCATGCAAAAGTGTCTAGCTTGGTCGATAGATCAATAATTAGGCTGGGCCACTGAGTCTAGTCTAACCCGCATGATTAGGTTTGCGAGGAGGCTATACCTAGCCCTTAAAATAAAAAATAAAAAAATACAATAAAAAATAGTTTTTTTTTCTTTTAATCCAAATTTTATGAGTTTATTTACTGGTATCAGAGTCAGGAACACTATATTTTTTAGGTTATGTAATATTTACTAATATCAAAGTTAAAAATATTTATAGTCAAGTATTTATTGACACCAGAGTCAAAAATATCTTAGGCAGATCATAAAAAACATAATACAACAAACTTTTAGCAATTTAAGATAAAACTAATAATACAGTCTACCTTAGATAAGATGCTAAAAAGGTGATAATATTTTTCTTTTCACGTAACAAATCTTGTACCATAGAATTTTGATTGACTAATTAACATTTCTAATGATCATAATATTAGGTGTCTACTCCTTCAATTAGATATTTTCCTTCAAAAAACAAGATGTTAGATATTTGATGTTTTTAAAATAAGAAATTTTTAATTTATCATTGCATGGCTACAAAAATCATTTTTGATAACTTTGAGAACTTTTCAATACTTAAGTAAAAAAAAATATAATTATATTTTAAAAATATTACATGTTAAAAAAATATTACGAATTAAAAGATAATTAGCATATACTTGCCATTGAACTAGTATAAAATATAGTGTAACAATCTAAGGTGCTGCTATATAGTACATATTCATAACAATTAGAAGAGGTAAATCAGATTATCATAGAGCAATTAGTGTAACTAATATGGGTAGCTTTGGTTGGAGGCAAATTGCGGCGTCAATGATTAGTTTTCCTATAAAAGACTAGGAATTATGGAGCAATCTATAACTGCTTGATTTTAGCTAAACAACCAAGCAAGCAAGCGCAGATCTATATATATATATTTGAAGGTGGTAATATTTAAAGAAATATTATTAGTTTTATTTTTCATTTTTGTCTTCATCATATTGTTGTCGACATGTGATAGATTAAGCTTCCGATACAAAGATATGTTTTCAACAGCACTAGTTTCCTGAATATGATTTTGTATGGATGAGTGATCACTACCGTCTCCTGTGATCGATGGTGGAAGCTCTATTTATGGTCAAACTAAGCTCTCATGTTAAGCATTTAATATTAAGAATTGATTGGGAACAACTTCTTGATAGAGGTACCAATATGGCCTTAAGCCAGTTGATATGTCTCATGAGGAACTAGTTTAACATGATTATTTCCAATTGAGTTAGTTGATCTATTGTAAGGAAGGGTTGTTGATCCCAAATAACCCACCTGAGTATGAGCATCAGAAGCCATAAAGTTGTGTTTTTTCCATAGTATTGTTCTTAGTAGCGCGCGTCCCTTCTTTGGTTAGTTGTCCTACAGGGATTCTTACTAGACACTACATTTGAGTCCCAAGTTATATGCTAGACTCGGGAGCCATCAACGACATTTAATGCATCTAGTAATGTTCAGCGTTGGGAGAGTTGTCGACGCCTGTTTAGTTGGGTTCTAACTAATCTGGTCACTTTTGGACGGTGCTGGGAAAGAAATATGACTAGATAAATGCTTTTCTTCAATTTCATCTGGTCTGGTTTTTGTATGGTTCCTTTTCTAATGATTTAATCGAATGTTAAGATGCCACGCTGTTGTGTAGAGATTGGGTTCTCATCTAATCTAATAGAAATGCCTTTGTGAGACTCCCATGGTGTTCTGCTCTCTTTTATCTCTAGTTATTGTGTCGACTGTTCTTCTTCATGGAATCAACTGAGTTCATGCTTCATTCCTTTGAAAGCTTCTGAACAGCCCCTTCTCAGGTCTGGTTTAGATGTGGGTTTTCACTTATCCTGTTAGATTTTCATGTAAACAGGTGCTGGATTTTAAATTCTCTTAAAGCTTTCTTTATGAATTTGAACATATTTCCTTCTGTATTATCTGGATTGCTTTTTTTTTTTTTTCTTTTGAAAGGACTGTTGAGCTAGCCTTTCGATCATCTACTGTCTAGATTGGTTTCTGGTTTCATCCCTTTTCATTTCCTTTCAAATAGGTGCTTGATTGTATTGTTTGCTTCTGTATTGCAATATGAGTTTAGAATTAAGGGCTTACTGTTTTTTTGTTTTCTCATCTTTAGTTGAGGTCTATGGTTGTGGGTTCTTACTCCTGTACTTTGCTTGCGCTGGAAAGCCTTCTCAGATTTGGTTCATGGCAGGTACCATTTGATTCTCTATCTGATTCCAGTGAACTTCATTGCATTGTCCAAATGTTTTTTCTTATCATTTTTGTTGCAGCAATTTACATTTAGTTCTTTTGTTTTTCTGTGGGTTGGTATACGCTTGTTCTGCATGCCTTTCAGACTCCTTTGGCTCTTTTTAAGGACTCGCAATCTTCACGGACGTAAAGGAAAGAAAGAGAAGCTTCTCAATCACATTTTTTATAGTATAGATAGTTTCTTGGAATTGTTTTGTCATTGGTTAGCTTTCTTGCTTTGCTTGTCTCTTGATTTCCTGTTATGTGATTGCTGTGCGGGCAGGTGGTGTCTTTGGTTTTTTCTTGCAGTCTTTGGCATTGGTTATATCTTGACTCTGTTACTGTCGTTTTTCCTTGCCTTTAGGTGCAATACAAATCGTGGGCTTCATGGGAGCATTTGCAGCATATAAATTAGTCCCAATTGTTCCGTCGCTTGCTTTGCACTTATCCTTTTTCTTTTTTTTTTTTAATTTTCTTAGCCTATTTTATATTTTTTTTTGTTATAAGTATGTGAATTTCGATTCTTATGTGATAGAAATTAATTTGCCAATGCAGTTCAGTTTATTTGTTTATAGTTTTGATTTTGTAGTCCTATTTCATTTGCTTAAAAACGTTTCCTAGAATTAGTAAACAAATGTAATTTTATTTATACAAGTTGTGCAGCAAGTGCATTTCTTAGAGGAATGAGATGAGTTTAATCAAGAGATGATTAAAAATGATGAGGTTCGATATAAACTTGGTCCAAAAAAGAAAAAAAAAAAAAACAACCTTAGCATTGGGTAAGAAACACTATCTTCATTGTTTTGGTCTTTTAACATGTTCTTCGGTTATGTGTTTCTTTGTGACTCTCTGGTATTTGTCCTTTGTCTCCATGTTGCTTCCCTTTTTATTTCTATTTTTCCTCACATGCTTTTCAGCTTATGAGCATTCAAAGGCTTAAATTGGCTCATGTTTTAGCATGGTTTGACCTGAAGGATTCTGTTGAATATGTTTTCTGTTGTTGCAACCTTTTCCAGGTTTGTCTTCGGTCAACTGTTTCTTTATTGCCATGTTGGTTATTGGTTTTTTTCCTCTGGAAATATAAATTATGTTTGCCTTTTCTGCTTTTCATCGGTTACTATTGCTCTTTGCCTTTTATACTCTCCATCAGTTACCGTTTTCCATTCCATTCTAGCTTTGTTGCTTCAATCGCAATTTGTTTAGTGGTTCTCGCCTTTATTGGTGTTCACTTGCACTAACTTCTTGGTTTACTTGAATAAATCTTTTCCACATTGCTTTACTTGCAGAGCTATTTTCCCTGCCTTTTTCTTGCAGGCTGCTCGCTTTTCAGCGCCACAACCACCCCCCAATTTGTAGAATCAAAGATTCAATGTGCCCAAACATTTCTCTTTCTTCTTCTTCTTCTTCCTCTCCTTCTTTTATATATTTTTGTCTAATGCACCCTGCAGTGTATCTTTATACTTTGTTTGAAACAGATTGAGAATTGCAACCCCAAAAAACTTAATCAACTATGTTATGTTAATGAGACATGAGCATTAGGGTGCAAGGATTTTAATCATGACATTGTAAGCTCATAAGTTATGGCTATGCAGTGAATAGCGTGTGCCACCCTGTGATGTGCGGTTTACTTTCGTGTAAACACATGAAAGAAATAAAGCAGCTTTATTTTTTCCTTCAGAACCGGTTTCCTGTGATGGTTATTTATCTAAGCTGGAAGTTTGGAAACAAGTAGTGTAATTTCTTGCATGATCTCTTTTGGTTCCATTCATTTCATAGCTAGGTGTCGGAGAGAACTGTGCATGTGTTATCGAACTCAATTTTTCAGCCTTGTCATACGGGGATTAGATAGATTTGCACATTTTCTGATATTTTGATTCTTTGCACCCTTAAATCTTTGGCATACAAGGTTTTTAAGATTGTTTGTTCCAACCTAAGTCAGCCTCATGCCATACTCCAACAATTCTGAACTTCTCATTTTCCCTTATCTTTAGAAGTATTTGCTTAATGGGCCAAGTTTTCTGGTTTGGCTGACAAGAAAAATATGTCATTGACTTCAAACCTGTTTAGAACGATTCATGTTAATAGAGTATCTTTGGTATTATGGTAGCTGTTGTGATTGTGGTTGTGGTTGTGGTTTAAAAACAATTATTTTTATAAAAAATACTTTTAATTGATATTGGTTTGAAAAAATAGGTATTTGGTTAACACTGTGGTTGAAATTGAGGTTGAATAAAAAATAGTTTAATGTATTTGATTAAGAATACTTTTGAAATTAATGTTATGAAATAATTTTTAAAAATATATATTAATATTGATGATTTTTAATTTAAATATTATGAATTTAACTATTGCTATTATATCATGAAATAAATCATACTTAATATAAAATATTTTTAATTATTCCATAAAACCATCTATAATTTCATTACGTATAAAATAAATCCGACAAGAACTACAGTTTTTATAATTTTTATAATATATAATAAAATTAGATAAAACATTATCAGTTATAAAATTCATTCTAAACTAATTTAAAAAAAATATTAAAAAATTTCCACACTTCAAAAAAAAACACAGTGCAAGTGAACAGTACAATTTTCTTATAGTGTTTATATGAACAGTGTACTCATTTAATGTTAATTATACTGTTCATTAAAAATGTTAATTGCAGTAAGAAAAACAGTTTTCAGCTGCTACTTTTAATCCTATGTTCCAAACACAGAAATTAATGAGACTCATGAATAGTAACTAGTGGCCTCCGACATTTTACTTTAAACACAACTTTTAACGCGTAAACAAACAGTCTCGTAGTGTTTTCTATATCAGTCAGCCTCTTTTACATTGAAATTGATTAAGATTAATAGAGAGGTTGGGCTACTTTTTCTGGCATTTTTTTGTCTGAATGATTAAATTTCTTTTTCACTTGGTATCAATATGTATATATAAATAAAAAGTGCTCTGTCTCTCCTCTCTAAGTACATTGGTGGGCTTTGCCGCCTGTAGTCTTATAAGATGATGATGTGTGGCATTCTTATTAAATTCAATCAGTAGTTAGAATTAGTTTAGGAACCTACAAAACTTAAAAAAATATTTAATATTTTATAAAAAAATTTAAATTTTTTTATGTAAATATAACCTATAGTAAATAATAAAGTTTAAAAGAATATTTTAAACTTCTTTTTATTCTATGTTAAAAAGATGCGTTATTTTTTTAAGTTGAAATATTTAAATAATTTTTTTATTATATATATATGTATGGTAAATAATAAAGTTTAAAAGAATATTTTAAAAATCTTTTTATTCCATATTAAAAAGATACGTTATGCTTTTAAGTTAAAGTATTTAAATACTTTTTTTATTTTATATTAAAAAATATAATTTTTTTCTTGAGAACATAGAGTATATATATGGACTTTAAATTTCACATTAAAAAAATAACCTCTTTCTTGTGAACATATAGTATATATTAAAGAGCTTCAAATTTCATATTGAAAAGATATTATGTTATCATTTTTTAAAGTTGAAGTATTTAAACTAATTTTTTTTTATTCTACATTAAAAAACTTATTTTTTTCTTGTGAACATAAAATATATATATGAAAGGGTTTCAAATTTCACATTAAAGAAATTTCTTTCTTGTGAACATAGAGTATGTATATATATATATATATTAAAGGACTTCAAATCTCACATTAAAAAAAATATTTTTCTAATATTTATATAGTAAACTTTAAAAAGTGTTAATAACCAACTAAAAAAATATAAAAAAAATGGGTATAGGAGGAAAATCATATTTGAAAAAAAAAACATAGGGTTTCGTCATAGTTCGCTTAGGTCACTCGGGTCATTGGTTTTGTCGGATTGTTGACACGACTAAAAGATTGATGTCTTCTTCCAAGTGCAGGAGTGTCGAAGTAATAAATAACCCGGCAAGACCGGGGTTGAACCACAGGAAGGTTAATTGTACAAATTATATATAACAATAATACAATAACAATAACAATAACAACAATAATAATAGTAGTAGTAGTAGTAATAGTAATAGTATTAGTAGTAGTAGCAGCAATAATAATAATAATAAAGAAAAAGAAGGAGAAGAAGAAGAAGATGATGAGAACTTTGAGATGAAATATTAATGTAAAGATTAAATAATAATAATAACAAATGTCAAGGTTAGAGGTTCCACTAATGGTATGTCAAACAAGTATAGTATGGACTCTTATTATTGAATTGAAAACCACACACAAAGGAGGTTCCAATCAGAGTATATATTGTTAACATGATTACATTAGTCATCTTATTCGATTAATGCTAATACTTGTAAATCTCGTCAAGCATTCATGATTATAACTTATGTTAACAACAAATCAAGTTCCTTTCATAGCTCAGGTGTCGGTTATACCATACATTATAGGCTATGAAAGTGTATAGCTTAGGTGTCGGTTATACCATACAGTATGGGCTATGAAAGTACCAAGCATTTGTAGTAATAGTAGTAGTAGTAGTAACAACAACAATAACAACAACAACAACAACAATAATAATAATAATAATAATAAAGAAAAAGAAGGAAAAGAAGAAGAAGATGATGAGAACTTTGAGATGAAATATTAATGTAAGGATTAAATAATGATAATAACAAATGTCAAGGTTAGAGGTTCCACTAATGGTATGTCAAACAAGTATAGTATAAACTCTTATTATTGAATTGGAATCTTATTACTCAATTGGAAACTACACACAAAGAAAGTTCCAATATGATTATAAATTGTTAACATGATTACATTAGTCATTTTATTCGATTAATGCTAATACTTGTAAATCTCGTCAAGCATTCATGATTATAACTTATGTTAACAACAAATCAAGTTTCTTTTATAGCTCAGGTGTCGATTATACCATACAATATGGGCTATGAAAGTGCCAAGCATTTGTTGTACCAAGTGTTATACAACATAAATCAATATTAGTCATTTAACAAGCAAAGTATTAAAGAGTGAACAAGATAACAAATACAAAACATGTTAGTATCAAACATTAAAGTCCATATTAAGTTTACACTATACTTATTCTTACACCATTAGTGTAACCTTTTCACCTTGACATAATAAACCTACCTAAACATAATGAAAGAAAGAAAAATAAATAAACAAAATAAGAATATAAATAAGATAAAAGTTAACTAAGTAAAGGAAAGGAAATGAAAAGCATAAACTTGATATTAATGAAAGCAAAGCATAAACATTACAAAAAATGTAAAGAGAAAAAGAAAGAACATGATCTTGATCTGGAAACCAAGATGCGTAAATACATGGCAAATGCCTCCTCTTATAAGCCAAAATTGAAAACTATTGATTTGATGACTAATTGATGAGTGGGTGACCAACTCTTGACTTGGTGACAATCCTTATCTTCTCTTGTTGGCCCAAAACGTCATTGATAACGTCAAAATTGAAGCCACTTGAAACATGAAAGTTGTAGGAAATTATCTCAGCTTTCTTGTATAAAAACGTTAACTCATTTGGACTTTTAGAACTCCAGATATGGGCCAAACACTGAATAGTGCTTGGGCTAGAAGACAAATTCGGACCTCTTTGTTGTTGCTCCAATTTGGACTTGAAAATAATATTTTTTTGATTTAGGCTCCATATGAAAGTTGTAGGCCTATGTCTTACCTTTCCATCCATATAAAGTAGACCTAAATTTGAGATCTACAGCTCCAGATATGACCCAATTATCGAACAGTGTTCTGGTTTGGATTGCA